GTGTCAAAAAACTAAAAATCAAACAAACAAGCTAATTTGTGTTTCTTGCTAGATCATAATGGAGTTTTATGACTTTATGATTAACTATGGAGACATGTTTGCTACGCGTATATGGGATCCATAAAGTACACACATTTGCATTTGATGGATGATGACAAATTTATACTTCACTATTTTATAGCATGTTATATAACACATACAGATTGATTTCAATACTTGTTATACTCTAAGACCATTTCCTATTTCAACAACAAAAATGTATGTCTTCAGAGTCATCCAAGAAATCCCAAAGAGATAATATATAACAGGTCATGGAGTGACTGCAGCCTTGTTCACAAAAATCAACTTTATTCCTTAATGATGTGTATTCTTTTGCTTGTATGTGCATAATTGGAGGCACTATTGTTGCAAACTTGTATTAAATAAACTATAAATTGAACATTAAATAAGTATATACATTAATCTCTCTAAAACTCTCCATTCGCCCTAATTAAGGTTCTAATGTGTAATACAATTAAAAGGAACTGCATTGTGAGGCAACCTCAAAAAATTTTTTTTCCAATAATCTTAAATCGATGCTGTTCGAAATAATTAGGGGAGAAACAGAAGATTTAGTGATGGAAGCATAATGCAATTTAGTTGGGAAAGTATAATTAGAGATGTTTTTCTAGAACACTTATTTTGCTAAATGAACATAGAGAATTATCAACTCATCACACAGCTTCATTTCATATGGTTGACCTTTAGAGAAAGGAGACCTGCATTCACTAAATATAAGCATGTATTTTGGAATGTGAAATAAGAATCAATATTTTTTAAGTCACAAAATCAGTGAAAGCAACGTACAGTAGAATGAAGAAACTAAAATAAAATGTTGCCAAACAGAGAAAAGACACAATTTCATACATATAGATTTATTTACCTACACACCTATATACCAAAAGCAATCAAAAGATTATATTTCTATGCACAGTGGAGGCAACTGAAGGAAACAGATTTGTAAACATACTTAAAGAATTCAATGTAGGAGATATTACAGAACACAGATTAAAGCAAAATGGAAATCAGGGTAATTTGTGAGCATTAGTATTGATGTTTGTTTTATCAAATTCCATTTGTTACCTTCATTGTGATGGTTAAAATTACATTTCTGAAATATAAAGTGTCTCACGACTGACCTTCTCATAAATGAGAGAGTAACTCTAATACCTGACACCCACAGCTATAAGGAAAGGTTTATTTTGCCTCTTGGTTTTGTAGCGCTTTCTTTCTATAGTTGCCTGCCTCCACGGCAGGGTGTCATGTCGATGGGGTATGGCAGTAAGAAGCAGTTATGAGGTGGTAGGCAGGAAGCAGGTAGATGGCAAGATCAAGGAGGGAAGGAGATCGACCCCTCTGGGCTCTCAGTGACACCCCTCCTGGGATCAGACTCCACCTCCCAACAATCAGTTTAGCTGTGAGCAACTCACCTGTGGACTAATTCACTGAGAAGCATCAGGCTCATCCTCACCTCCCAAGCACACCCCACCCCCACCCTTTGAGTGCATGAGGCTTTGGGGATGTCTGGATGTATAATGCATACCATAAACTGTCTGAGAAGCTCTGATAAATGCATGCTTCACTGTGATATCTCTATACATTTTCCCCACAGGATCACAGTTCACCACCACACACGTACCTAAAGTTTATAGTTCTCACCTCCAGTTAGCTAGAGGGAGGATACTGAGCGTCCATTGTAAATACTTAGGAAAATGATAGCAGAGTGGGCATGCCAGTTCATTACACACGATGCTGCTATTTCCAGATTTTCTTATGATAGATTCTATAAATAGAACACCAACATATTACCTCCTAATCAAAAGAGCAATTATGAATTGTATAGCCCAA